TGGAGCATCTTCTGAGGCTGTGTCCATAGCAGCTTTATTTACAAGCTGATATTGTTCAGGCTAAAATAGAAAGGGCTGCTATAGACAGTCTGGGTAGTTTTCCGTGGGCTGAGAAAGTATAAAACCCAGAGTGATGAGGAAGGGGGCCTTGGTCACTGCCTTTAATTGGGTTCTCTCCCCGCCCCGTAAGTTGTGAGTCTCATGGGTGTAAAGCCTGTTGACTCTCAGGTCAATATTCTTGGGTTTAATAATGTTCCCAGTCCTGGGTTAGTCTTTGTCTGCTCATCTGATGCCATCCATGCTTGCTCCCACCACCAGGAGAGAGACAGAAACTTCCTCTGACAACTGGACCTGGGTTCCAACCCAGCCTTCCAACCTGACCTCTGAACTCTTCCTGCACCTACCTACTGTTAAAATAGAAGCTTATTTTCCCCTCTATGTTTTATTAAGTCATTTTCCCACAGACATACCAGTAGGTTTGTAAGTCAGCTGAGAATGGTTGGTTGCCACCCAGGTAATATTTTCATCATCATTTAAGAAAAGAATTCTAGAAGGAAAGCTGGTTTTGTAACACGCAATCCCACCCCATCCTCCCTCATGTGTAAGTAGAGAGAAAGAGAGAGGCAGAAAGGGAGAAAGAGACCGACTCTCTGGTTTTTTTGTTTTTTCCAAGAATGCCTAAGTAACGTAGGGACACAAGTCCAACTGAAAGTCAATACAACTTATTATTATTATTTATATTATTGTAGTGTCTAGGAGTCCCAGTCAAGGCCCAAGACCCCATAGTGCTAGGCACTGTACAAAGACAGAACAAAAAGGCAGTGCCTAAGCATAAGCGTCATGCTAATATGTCACTTAAGTACTTTTGAAAACCCCATCCAGAAAGTTTACATCACGTGTGTGATTATTAAGGAGTCCAACCATGAGAAAGAACCCTGGACCGCTTAGCAATAACCATGAGATGCATCTAATCATCACAGCCAGGACACCACCCAGGCACTAGTTCATTTGGGCATTTTATCATTTAACAACACAGGGGTGTATATACAAGAGTATGATAGGATCATGCCCTTAGCCATGTCCACCGCAGGCACAACTGCAGGCTGCAGACATGCAGACCTTGCAGTAGTCTGACTTAGGTTTCAGGGACTTTCTTGCCTCCAGTTATGGAGGTAGCAGCCCCACAGCTCAGAACTACAGTAGACTAACCTCAAAAATGACAACCCCGATGAGGGGTGCCGCATGCATGATGACTTTGTGCCATGTGATGAACTAACAAGAGGATTCCACTCAGACAGGAATGGAGGGGGATGCACACAGGGACCTTGCTTTAGAAATGCCGTAGAAGTAGAGTGTGGTAACACAGGATGGCAATATCTCTGCACTTCTTTGCTCTATTGCAGCTAAAGAAGAAATTGTAGTCACCCAACACCAATTCCTTTACGCCAAGCAGTTTATAGCTGGTTGGAAATTTCAGTTAAAAGCACTGCTCAGGTACAAGAGATGCACATTATTAGAAGTATTTAGGCTTTAAAACAGAGCATTTTTCTTTAATTTCTGTGTAATTATTCCACATGTGAATTAAAGCATATATTAAAGCTTTCACCAGGAACTAAAAAAAAATATTTATAGTACAAAAATGATGTACTGATAACTTATCTGCTGATTCAGAATATGAGCTTCAAAACAAAGAAGCCTATATCCTTTATGCTTCTTTCACAGATACCAACAGTATCAGCTCCTTTGTTTAACTGTCTGTAGCATTCCTTACAAGGCATATGGTACTCTTTGCAATATATGTTTTGATATCATTTCTTATGCTCCCTCAGGCAATTCTTGCCTTAATAGCATCTCTCCTCCCCTTCAATAAGCGTGGTCGCCGACTAGGGCTGCCATACTTCTTAACAGTACCTAATAGTACAAACGGGACCAGGAAGAAAGTATGAATGGATTTCTCCCCATCCCAACCTCTGCCCCAAAGCGTACAAAAAGATTCCATAGTCTCGGTCACTCTTAAACAGGGCCCATTCCCTATTTACAGGTGATGGGGAAATCCTGATGAAAACTAAATTTGTCAAGTCTAGTCATGATTGACTTCAAATTTCAGAGCCTGTGACCTTCTCAAATTGTGACCTGGTCTCAGCCTGTGACCTTCTCAAATTACTTTCGGCTGAAATGTTAAGCACACATTTAAAAGAAAAGCTCAACAACCAGTCAGTATGCCAAAGACACCAGGTTTGTTTTACAAAAAAAATAAAACAACAAAAGGCTGCCTAATAATTGGGTTGTGTAAATTCAGTGCTTTTTAGGACGAAGGCTTAATGGCCGCTTAAGGAATGGAACATATTTTCATAAGCATCAGATAATGGCAAATATTATCCTCCATGTTATTTAAAAGGTCAGCTGGAAAATGATGTTCATCATGTACAGTTGGAAAGGCCCGTGTCATCAGAAATGTACAGCTGAAACAGGCATTGCTTCCTTGAAACCTTTGGAAGACCAAGCATTTACGTTCATAGTTAAAAGTTTACAAGAGGTAGGATACACTCTAGAGTCACATAAATATACCATTTTCTCTGCAAGGAGGCCAAGGTACCCTTTTTGATAACATATGTTTTTACAGAGAAACATAACTGGGCTCCAGTAACATCATACTCAAGTAACTACATTTTTAACATTCATTAAAGTCACTATGCCGTGGCTTCAATAACACTACCATCAAGCTGAAATGAGCGGTAATGATGTTATCATGCTGCCTTCAAGAGACGGTCTAAATAGCTCAACTCTGTTGGCTACACATGAATACAAAGGACTGGATAATATCTGAGCAGGGACAAGCAAAGCATATTCCTCCTTGGAAGGCCTGGGAGAGGACAATCATAACAGACTGAAACAGATTCTGTTGTGCTGGAACAACACTCTGAGCTTGGAAAAGCCAAAGGATACATAAGGGAAGCAAAATTGTCACATGGCGATCACCTAATGGACAGATGGGGGATATGATGTATTACATAGCCACAGAGCATATAGACTCACTGGGTGTGTAGGCGAAGGGCAGGCACAGAGCTGTCAGAGCAAACTCAGGCTGGTTTCTTATTAGCAGGAGAAAACAGGAAGTCAAATGGGCTCCAAAAGCAAAAAGGGTGAGCGTCTGGATGCTGAGCAATGTGCAGGGAAGGGTTGGATGGAATTAGAAAGCAGGTTGGAGGCACCAAGGGATGAAGTGAGAGACCCCAGGAAGGAGCTTTGAACAAGACCCAGATCTGAAGAGCGGATTGTTTCACAGTAAGAAATATTTTTAGTGTGATGTCCATGGCTTTTGCTGCCCAGCTCCCATGAATATTAAATCTCCCACACTGAACTGTTCGTGCCAAGTGATCTAAACTAGGAAGAGAGAGATATCAATGAGGGCAATACAAAATGGACCTAAGTGAAAGGATCTTGAGATGGGCAAAGAGAGCAGCTGTCACAGCCAAGTACGCAGAGAATTGCCAAGAAATTGAAGTTGATACATTCAAAGGCCGTAAGGAAGAGTGGAATCAGGGTTACGGGACACACTAGAATGGAAATTGCTCACTGACGTGTATTTCTTCCTTCCTCATTTTCCTTTGACTAGTTACTCTCCCCCATGAATCGCTCTCTAGCTGCCTCTCTAACATAGGGCTTCCCTCTGCTGTCACTGGTTCTCTCCCTGATGTTTTCTACCATGGGGTAAGAACGTTGTGCACAAATATCATCTGAATGTCTGGAACCTGAAATGACTTCAATCCAGACTTCCAGTGGAACAGTTACAGAACTTTAACCATCACAATTAAAGAGCAGTTTTTACTACCCCAAATTCAAAGGGAACTAGACTGAAAGTGCAATCATCCACGAAGTCATTAGCCTTTCAGTCATTTCCACTGCAGTTCACCAGACAACAGACTAAATGTTCCCTTCGTTTGACTCTTTGATCTCACTCCTGTCCCTGTTATCTCATTAGTTGTCCCCCGGAATCATTTGGTTTCCAGGTCCTGTGGATCCTCCCCTTAGGCTGGAGGGAGGTCCTTTAGCAGTGGGTGGGTCCTGGATTCCAATAGGAACAAACAATGTCTTTCAGACAGTTTGGTCTGGCTCTGAATGGACTGAATGCATACTAGATTTGTGTCGTGAGGCTACCTTTTTTTCTGTCTTTTCTACAACAAAGACAAGTAAAAACTAAAAATTCAATTACTGCTGCTGATGCGTGTCATATTTTCTGTATCATTTATGGAAAATTGTTTTCAGTAACTTAGCATTTCAGCAACAGAGAGTCCTGTGGCACCTTTAAGACTAACAGATGTATTGGAGCATAAGCTTTCGTGGGTGAATGCCCA